AATCGATCAGCTGACACATCTCGCCATATTCCGTAGTTTGGATATCCGAGAGAGCCCTGGTGTACAGCCGCTGTTTCTCCAAACCGAGAAGTCACCGCTGCGACGGATTGGCCACGGCTTGTGAATGCTTCCAGAAGCCGAAGGCGAAACAGCTACTGCACGGCTGTTTTCTGTCGAAGCTCAAATGCGGCCGCATCAAGAATGTTGGAAACACTCTGTGACGAGTCCACCTCTGCGACCCGGGAGGGTAAGTGGTCAGCAAAACTGATTGATTGAATCGTTCCTTCTACGGTTCGTGACGTTTCGGCGCTGCCGTTTCGGCGCGGGCTGATTCGACGCAGGTCATTTCGGCGCTGATAGATAGGTTATCACGGTGTTATCACGCTGCAGTCCTCCAGCGCCAGCCTGAATAAACATGACTGGACGGACTGTGGTCATCTCGATCAACTGCAATATCCACTCCACCTTATTAAATATCAATGAGAAGCTCTCCATGAGTAAGGTATGAAACTTTTGTCGAACTAACGATGATGTTACGTAATGCATATAAAATTTTGCTACGTCAATAAAGGGTTACTTTGTTCATCAGTTAGTTGTTCTTCCATAAAAATTCGACTTCAAAATACATTAGCAAATGTAAATTTTGTGAATTGGGCAACGCAATTTTCCGTCCCAACTCAACTTTGGAAAGAAACAATGAATAGAAATTCTCGCCCTCGTCGTCATTTCTTTACGCAGTTATAGCGTGAAATCATGATATGGAACAGAAATAATGGAAATTCAAAAATCTTACAATGGATTCTTATTGTGTTTTCACTGAGTTTCCCACTGATATGCAACATGATAATAGAAGTCGCAAAAACCATCAAGTTAGGCATAACGAAACTGTATGACTCGAAATTAATCAACTCGCTTAATCCCATCGTCATTAAACAAAACTGTAATTCACTAATTTGACAGTTGTTTAATATTGTGCTCACTAAGAGATATTCATTAATATGTAAATAATAATGTTTCACAGTGTACATACGGATTGCTTTTCATGAATTTGTAATACGGTGGATTGGATGTAACAGCATCGCGATGACTACATTGTAATTATGCAGATTTAAACTCACGCCACAGTACTGCACATTAACAACGCATATCGATCGACGCCGAAACGGCCCAAGCCGAAGCGACCGCGCCGAAGTGCTTCATTCCGTTCCTCCTACGAAGCTGCTTCTGATGCCTAACGGTCAAAGTGTAAAAAAATTCAGAATGTGGGGTACATCACGAACCAAAATTGTGAATACTGACGCGGCTCACAGCGATCACCGCAAACAACAGGTTAATCGACAGAAAAGATCGTTCTTTCAAACTTGACGTAAACAGATATCAGTAAGCTGATCAAGAATTAAGCTATGCAAAGCAAATTAATTAAATTTTAATAAAGTGCTGGACGAAATTCAAATATCTGTTTCAATGTATTTGCTTTTCCAATGAAAGTTGCAAATCCCTTACTGCAATAGTTAGCTACCTCGCTTCACACCGGCCTATCGACAATGGATACGAACTGACGTTAGACCTGCGGTCTGAGGTACACCCGAATTTAGTCAATCGCAACGTCTCTATGTGTCTACCTCGATAAAAAGACTGCCTTTGACTCCGCGAATCGATCCACGCTTTCCTCAGCTTTCAGTATTATCGCAATTCGGGAAATGCCGTTCAAAGTTTTCTGTAATCTACACACTTATGAAGTCGACCGGCTCAGCTATCTCAGAACAAATGCTTACGTCACTGGGCGTGAGAGAAAGACGAGGAATTCTCACTGGTGTTCTCTCTAGGCCAGTTATCCATAGAAAATTTTTGATATCACACCTCAGCTATAGAACATAAATGCTGGTACCTCTACTTTCGTGGGACTGGACTGCGCAAACGACAACTGCTTTATCTCTTCCTCAGATTTCTTTCTGACAACTTTATCAGTAATGTGTTAATTTGACTGTCATGTCAGACTGTCTTGTTCTCCTGTAAACTATCAGACACGATGATATGCATCATTATCCTGTGAACTAGAAATGTTACTTTTGTCATAGCCCCTTGTTTGCCATGCGAGCACGTAGTTTAATGCTTCCTTCCTGGATGCTCCGTATAGTGATACTTGCTTATATACCTGAAAAGATGAAAGACTAATTACCTAGTTAAGAGGATTCCAAGCCACAGTCTTTCAACCGCGAGTCCTGCATTCTACCGACTGAGCCACTCTATCCTTGTCTTGATAATAAATAATGGTAAAAAAGCTACGAACTGATATGCAAGTGGATGACCAAAATGTTCAATGCTAGGGACAATCCCCATCACTTGAGAAGGCATAAAACATTTTAGAATGCTGTAATGCTGAAATGCATCATTCTACCAATCTTGCTGCCTAGGCTGTGA